TCTGATCCTGTGTGAGACCTAGAAGAAGTTCTTGCAGCAGCTTTGGACTGGCTCAGCACTGGCCATTTGGGAGTGAATCAGCATATGGAAAATTCTCTCTCTCTAACTCTGACTCTCAGTAAAATAAATCTTTTTAAAAAGATGACTATGAAACAAATGAATTTTTTAAAATGATGATTTGTTTATTGATTTGAAAATTAGAGTTACAGACAGAGACAGAGGGAAGGAGGAGAGAGAGAGAGAGAGAGAGAGAGAGAGAGAAAGAGAAATCTTCCATTCTTCCATCCACTGGTTCACTCCCAAGATGGACACAATGGCCAGTATTGGGCCAAGCTGGAACTGGGAAACAGGAGCTTCTTTTGGGTCTCTCAACATGGATGGCAGGAACCCAAGAATGTGATTCATCTTCTGCTGAATTCCTAGGCTATCAGCAGGGAGTTGAATCAGAAGTAGAGCAGTTGGGATTCAAAATCAAATCCAGATGTGATGTTATTACCATCACAGTCAGTGCATTTACCTGCTGTGTAATGGTACAAGCCCTGAGTTTCTTTTAAGAACTGAATCTTGTCCCCAAGATGTCTCATTATGTATGTATATTTCCAAATCTGAAAAATGCAAGCTCTTAAATACTTACAATACCCAATAATTTTTGCTAGTGATATACAACTAGTAATTAAGTTTTATAATAAAATCATGGAGTTTTATTCGCAAACATGCAATTTTTTGAAAGTTTCCAAGGAACCTAAATACTAGGAACCAACTTATATTTTTAAGGAGCCAGGAAGATGTTCCATCTGATGATTCATGCCCCAAGCATCGCCACAGTCAAAACTGAGCCGATCTAAAGCCAGGAACCCAGAGCATCTTCTGGGTCTCCCACATGGGTGCATAGTCCCAAGACTTTGGGCCATCTTTAACTGCTTTCCCAGGTCACAAGAAGGGAGCTGGATGGGAAATGGGGCCACCAGTATTACAAACAGTGCCAAATATGGGATACTGGCATGTGCAAGGTGAGGACTTTAGCTGCTAGGCTACTAAACCGGTCCACCAACTTATGTATTTTAAACTTGGCTTGCAAAATAAAGATGACTTTAAAATAATTTTATTTGCTTATTCATGTGTTTATTTTGAAATATTTATTTTAGTGTTTTAATTTAAAAGGCAGAATTACATAGAGAGCAAAAAATGTCTTCTGTCTGCTGGTTCGTTCCCCAAATGGTTACCATATCCGGAGCTGAACTGATCTGAAGCCTGGAGGCAACAGCTTAGTCCATGTCTCTCATGGGGGTGCAAGGACCCCAGGACTTAAGCCATGCTCTGCTGCTTTCCAGGCCATAGCAGAGAGCTGGTTAGTGGATCACCCAGGATGGGAAGCAGCAACCATGGTTCATGCCAACATCGAAGGTGGAGACATAGCTTACTACACCATGGTACTTGCCCCAAAAATTTTATTTTAAGCCCGCTAAACCATCCAAACTCATATTAATTTAAAATTTGTCCCTGAATTCTTTTGATTTCTATAAATGGCAAAATAATATGACCATTTTAGTCTTTCTTTCCATAAGTTACAAGACTGTTATGAGTTAAAATGTCTAAATACCCCATTGAAAAATAAAGGAGTAATGAGAGATTCATTAAAAGTACTAGTTAATAAACATTTTGAAATGCTTCTGGGTCAATCTTTGAGGTGTCATCATCTGAGGATCTGGGAGAGTTGGGGCTGGAAACCCTGGAAGTTGCCATCTATAGCTCTTGGCTTCACTCTCTAGTTTCTTTGTTAACCTCTGATCACTTCTGAAGAGGTTCATGGATAGCTTTTATTGACTGACTCTTGGTTTGTTTTTTTGTGGCAGAAAAATGAAACCATAGAATAATATACATCTTAAAAATTCTCAGTACCTTTTACCTTTGGCCAATGCTTTTGCCAATTAAGCTGTCTCAAATAATTTGCAGCTTTCAGATACAGAATTTGACACATTTCCCCTTTTTGAGCCAAACATCATATCATTTCCACAACATGCCTTGCTTTGTAGAGTTAATTACTGGCATTTCAGGTATTGTGAAACAAAATTTTCAATAAGCAGCATCTTGTTTTCTTCAGAGGGCTTAATAAAGAGATCCTTGATTAAACCAGAACCTTCATTTCTTCTTTAGCCTAAAGGCCTTATCTTTCTGTCAACATGGTGTATTGAATATTTGTACAAGGATTTATATTAATTTAAAGACCTTTAGCTGTCTGGGAAAGCTGGAAATGAGATTCTCAGCCAGAGTCTTAATACTTTCTCTCTTTTCCTTGTCAATTGGCCAGTTATTTTCTAATCTCCTCTATTTCTTGAGGAAAATTTTATACTGCTAAAAGCAAAGTAGGCGATGTTTACAAAATATTTCCTGGAGATCTTCTTATGACATTAAAAAATTTATTAGGTCTCCTTTCTGTCTCCCACTTATCATAGCTGACAGCTTTACTATATATTTTAACACTGTGTAACATTGGTCTCAATTTCTCCAGTCTCCCAAGATAATTTCCTTGTCATTTTACATCCTATACTTGTCACTGTATCCCAAAGTCATTAACATACACCTTAAGCTTTTAATAAGCGATGCTCTCCATGGAATCAGTTTATGTCTCAGGTATAGATGTACAATGATTTGCTTCAAAACTCAATGGCATTCACCTGGTGAATGTTTTTACTTCTATGGAATTTGTCTAGTTGATTTATGTTAGTTCCTGGCTCAGTGACTCAACAGATCCTACCTGGGCTTCCTCATGTGTCTGGGAGTGGTGGAGTGATACTGGCTTTCAACTGCTACAGCTAGACTTGTTCCAAGCATTTTTCCTCCTCCTCCTCCTGAGGCTAATTCAATAGTGTAAACTATGGCAATGGCAGAAATACAGGAAAGTAAATAGAAGAATCCCTGGCCTCTGGAGGCCTAGATTACAATGGTACGTGATAACTTCAGTTGTGGACTTGAGCTAATCATGTTTATGAGAAGATAAATTTTACCGTTATGTTAGGAATGAATGCTAAAGTCAGTTGACAAATACCATCAGCACAGAGAGGCTGAGCAACAGGGTCATTAGCTCTATCAGTCTCCTACACACTCCTGGCAAATCATTGAGGCCAAAGGCGTTAAGTTACCAAGGATATTTTGAAGTGTTTAGGGCAGTTTGTTTTTTTTCAAATCAACCTTTCTGGTTTAGATGTAGATCTTCCTTTTGGTTCACTTCCTGTCTTATCTCACAAATTCCTTTCTATCAGTTTTGCATTGAATAATGTCTTATTCCTTTGCATCTAAGCATCTTTGAATATTTGCAAAAGAGAATTTTTTAGGATTGCTAGTCTTTAATGAAGGATATATTACACAAGTAATAAAATTATTTTTAAGACACATTTCACTATGTTTATACAGCCCACACACCATCCTCAGTGGATTTTTGTAGTCTATACACAACTTTGTATTATGGATATTGCTTTCATTCAACAATGTAGAAATTATCAAGCTGATATGGGTATTTGCAAACCAGGCAAACTCTTCCAAAAGAAAAAAAATGAGGAAGTAGAAATTTGAGAATTAAATTTTATTAAACAGGATGCTTTTTTAAGGCAGAGAGTAAATGCAGGAACCACAAATAACCACAACCAGATTTTATGGAGTGGACAGGAATGGGTATGAACCACAATAAGCATGTTGACATTGAAACAATTGAATTGCATGCACGTATTCAAAATGTTATGTGTGCATGACCAAAAGCTGTATAGGAATCCACCATGGGGGAAGGAATTGGGAGAATCTCAGAGCTGTGAAACTGTGTCATAAAATGAAATGTAATTAATAAAAAAAAATTTGTTGCTGAACATATTGTAAGCAACCCTGTGTTTCTCACATCAAGAATTAGAAAAATATATTAATTTATGATGTGCATGGTAGGGACTCAAGTACTTGAGCCATCATAACCTAATGTGTCCCAGAGTGATTGCCAAGAAGCTGGCTTTGGAAACAGTGCTGCTCTCCTAACTCTTGTGCTCTGATATGGGATGTGGGTATTTAAGTGGTGGTTTTAGCCACTGTGCCAAATGACTGCTCCTGAATAAGAGGTTTTTAAGAATATTTATCATTACAAGTACGTATTTATCATAGGATATTGAAAGCATATGGCTATGCCACAAGATGAAATTAAAGTTCCCAGAAATTTTCCATTCACATATAAATTGGCTAAATTCTATCCTTATTCACTATTGTTTCTACCAGCATATCATACAGATCTTGGGGCATAGAAATCTTAATATGTATTAAAATATAAGTACATAAATGATGAATATTTACCTAAATGAGTTGTTAGCAAAATTAGATGATACTATCAGTATTGCTTTTTATCCAATCCAATTGCTTTTTATCAATTTCATTGAAAACATCCCTAACAATTTCATATGTCAGTATTAAACATCATTTTAGCATCTGTTCATATCTAAGTCTATGAAAAAGATTAATATATTTTAATTGTGACATACATGTTATTGATATTTCCCTGGTTTGAATTTTCATTGTATCTTTTCAAGTCCCAGATGCTTCTCAATTGGAAATAACACATCCTTCCCACTCTCCCTTTCCTCTTGCCTCTGGCTCTAACTCAATGTTCATGCAAAAGTATTTATTATTTCCCAATGGTGACACCAACTTCTTTCACTTTGTGGGCCCCATAACATACACTTCCTTCCACTGTTTTTTGTCCTGCCCTTCCTTTCTAAAAACCTCTTGTCCCCTCAAATCCAACCCATAATTTCATTCCTGGATCCCCTCTTCCATTGTCCTTCAGAAATTAACACAAATTCTACGTAACAAGTTGTCTAGTAGAGCTGCAGCAAACTCAAGTTTTATGTCAATTCAGAAAGAAAGGGAAATTGTGGTCCAAGCAACTAGTCAAGTTCTAGACAAGATCCTTGTTGTTTTAATAGCAAAATAAAGTATCCTAAGGTGATGCTTTCTCCTCTTCTCTTTAGGAAGCAATTGCTTTCAATTCTTCTCTGCTGAGGCCCCGTGTGATTGGTGAGTGGATTGGCAGAGAAGACAATGATGCTGATCCACTTGCTGCTGAAATGCTACAGCCCCCAATTCCAAGAAACAAAAATGACCAATGGGAGAGCGAAGACAGCGGCTCTAGCCCTGCAGGAAGGTGAGTGAGGTGTTTCCTTAGTTTCTATGTTACCATGTTTTTTTTAAAGACAAAGGGAAAGCAAACCCAAGTGTGTGATTATGCTGAGATGGCAAATCTGTATAGTAAATTGACTTAGGAAAAAAATTAACTTTGTTTTAAAACTAGAGTAGTACTGATCTTTCTTTGGAATATTTTTTAATGGTATTTTTCACATCTTGGAGAGTTTTATCTTCTTGTCAACTCAAATCAAATAGGGGAGCAGCTTCAAAAACATAAATTTCCAGTAACACTAATAATGGAGTGGCTGGCTGCTAAGATTGAAATTGAGAGGATCAAAGTCATGGCACAATGTTAGGCCACCTCTTACAAGGATGCTGATTTCCGGTATCAGAGTGTTCATTAGTTTTTGTCTGTCGCTTGGGTCCAGCTTCCTGCTCATGCTCCTGGGAAGACAGTAGATGATAGCCCATGTGGTTGTGGCCCTGAGCTTCATATAGATGACTAGGAGAGTGTTTCAGGCTGCTGGCTTATGTTTGACCTAGCCTTAACTTGCGTGGTTCATTTGGGGAGTAACCCAGCAGACTGAAGATCTTTCTCTGTCCCTCCTTTCTCTCTGTCTCTATGTCATGCTTCCCTTCAAATATTTAAATAAGTAAATGAATGAACAAATAAAGAGAAATACTTCTGATGTGCTAGAGATATGTAATTAGTCATCAGGGAGAAGAAAATCATGGGATATACAGTAATGTAGAAGATGTGGAGTTACTATAGAATATAAAGAGTAAAGCATTGCTTTAGGAAAGTTTACAAGGCATAACTGGCTGGATAAAATTATTTGTAATTTCTTTGTTTATTTTTAAAATCGCTATGTCTTATGAACTTGGAAGTACTGATTTTTTTTTTTTCTCCTGGTACTTCTAATGGTACCAAGAGATTTGCCCTAAGTGTTTATGTGCTGGAAGAAGTAGAATAGTGAGATTACTTTATCAGAAAATCTGTTTTTTGAATTATCACTTTTCATGTACGTGACACAAACCTCAGTGAGAAAAACACAAAACATAAATGAAAATTTCTACAGAGCAGTTGGAATAAACATCGTTTTGGAGGCTTGGCTTACCCAACATGAAAAAACATGACATGTTGCAGAAATGTACAGTTCCTGTGTTATCATAGGAGAGTTTTTCCTGTATATAGAAAAGAAATGGTAACTTTGTATTTCCTATTTTAAACTTATCAGCAACCAATAACTATTCTTTCTGAAGGAGAAAATTGTGTTTTCTACAATGTAATAGCTTTCTGGGAATCTTTTCTTTGACTTATCACTTGGCTAGAGGGAAAGAAATTTAGAATACTCATTACAGTGCTTCAGGCGCAGAGAAAATTGACTCTGTTTCATGAGAAATAACTTCAAAATTATTTAAATAGTTCAAGTGTCCTCTAGAAAAGGAAGAAAACCTTTTTAAAAAATCCATTTACCTTCTTTTGTGAAATGTCAGATCAATTTCACCTGTCAATGAGGGTAATTTTATTTTTAATACCAGACTTATGAAACCCACTAGACCTTTAGTCAATGGTAGATCTTTAATTCTAAAATGTAAAATAGAGACATGTCAACTTTCAGTTGGTTTTCACTTAGTCATAGCAATAATCAGCACTGTATATTACAATTATTAGGGTTTCTATTTTCTTCCTAGCTGTGGTGAGCTTTCATTCTCTCTTCATAGAATCAAATCTGTTCCACAGTTCTCATTGAATCCCTGATTCCGAATTCTCAGTCCACTATAATCTCAGCCAAATACTCACTTTGAAAGTTGTTTTACATTTTATTTTTAGCTGTACTTAAGTTGTGATTTGAAATAAAGAAAGTAGTAAAGATTCTGCATCAATTAAAAAAAAGATTAAGTATTTCTATGGAGTACAATGAAAGAAATGAGACAAAATTAAGGGTTAGATGCTATATTTTTCCCCAACTTGTAATGTTCAGAACAGGTTATCTGAATTCGTACCAGTAACTCACAAAGCATTAGGTCTGATTTTGATGATAAAGCAAAGGTTGTAGAGAAAATTTTAATGGCTTGCCCTGAAATAATAACCAATTAGTACTATCATTTTACGATCTTAAACATTGACGAAAACATAGTCTACACTTTTAAAAGAAACTGATTTTCAAGAATGATTTCATTCATTCCCCACTTAGTTTCCCACTTCCCACTTCTTGGGGTTGGCACAAATTATCCATATGGGGATCTGTGAAGGGGACACAGGCTGTACTAGATTACTAGATACCTGTCAAATCCAGTGGGTGTTTTTTCTTTCTTTCCTTTTTTTTTTTTAATTTAGTAGGTAGCATTGTTTGTACTCTGCCTTCATTTCCCATTTTCCCAACTGACTTTCTCCCATGTACAAGTTTGTTTGTTTATTTCTTGTTTTGTTTTGAGCAGCTGTTATTTAATTTTACTAAATTACTAAAAAATATGAGTTGGCTATTAGCATTTAGCCAACTTTCTTTTTGAAGAAGAGTCTTAGATGCTTTATAAGTTGGACTTTCACCATTACATTAAACAAAGTTTAATAGGCATCACATAAAATAAACCTGAATCTAATGAGTAGAAGCTTAGCCAAAATATTTTCCTGACACTTCTTAGAAAAATAACGTACCCTACCTGGAATGTTTTCCTTTAGGTGCCTCAAATACAATTTTTGGACAAAGAGGGTCAACAACTTTGGTACACATATGCAACGATTGAAGTGTTAATTGCTGGTTCAAATGAAGGCAACTGTGAGGGCGTTATGGAGAAACTTAGGGGAGAGGACAAGTGATGCTCACCCAGAGTCCGTGGCCATTAGATGGTCTGTGTGGGGGCCATAAGAGAGCTCTGCATTTCTTGAAATATTGCATGGATGTGTTACTGGACATTTCCTTGCAGTTCTCTGCCACATCATACTTAGCTTCTCAAAATATTTAGAATTTAGAATTATGAGAGAAACATTTGAGTAAGAAAGGAAAGAGGGGCACATAGAACCAATATGTTGTAGAATGATCGAAGACATTTTGTACTTGTCAGAATCTGCTGTCGGCATCAGTTACAATGGAAGGTGTAGCTAGTACTGAGGAATCATGCACCTTCATTACATACCTGAGGTTACTAAAAATTCATCACACATTTATAACATAAATAGAAGCAAGAAATATAAATAATGCAACTATATAACCATGTTTTAAACCATTTTAATTAGACTATCAATAGCTGTGAAATGGAGGTCAAATTTAGAAATTTAGTGACAACCAAACCTACAGATTTTTTTTTTATTGTTATTAACATTGTATTATGTGATACAGTTTTATAGGCACTGGGGATTCCCCCCACCCCTCCCATACCCCTCCCCCCATGGTGGATTCCTCCCCCTTGCTGCATAACCACAGTTCAAGTTCAGTTGAGATTCCTTCCTTGCAAGCATATACCTAGCATAAAGTCCAGCGTCTTATTGTCCAGATAAGTTCAGCGGCTTCTTGGGGAGACCTTCTCTGGTCTGAAGGTAGAGCTAACAGAGTAAAGTCCCGGTCAGTTAAAAGCCCCAACAAAACCTCAGTATCAATATACAACATTATGGAATTAATTGACATAGTATTGAGTAAACAATATGTTAAAAATAATGCAAGTTCCATTCTTCGAAACATCTGGGTTGAGACAGTATCAATGACAGGTTCAAAAAATAACAAACAACCAAATAAAAATTACAGGTTAAATCAAGGCAAACATGTGGTATCTAACCTTTTGGGATTCACTCATTTCCCTTAGCATTATAGTTTCCAGTTGTGCCCATTTAGCCACAAAGAACTGCATTTTGTTTTTTTTAATAGCTGAGTAGTATTCCATGGAGTAGATGAACCAAAGCTTTCTTATCCAATCTTCTGCTGATGGGCATTTCGGTTGCTTCCATGTTTTTGCAATTACTGATTGTGCTGCTATGAACATAGGGATGCATGTTGAAAACCTACAGATTTTAAGAATAAAAATTATTTATTATCAAAAACTAGATTTCAAAACAAAGGACTGAAGTCATAAACTATCTAAAACATACAAAAGTTGTATCTTATGGCTCACAAATTTGCTTTTAAAACTAGAAACATAGTCAAATAGTATGTTTGTTTCAGAGAACTGCTGAGGACATTTAGAGTAAAAGTTTGTTTCCTTTCATTTATCTAGAAATTAATTTATTTATGAAAAAAGTACATGTCATGATTCAAATAATTACTTTATGAAATACAATTTTCATCACCCGTTTGTTTCATGTCCCTTAGATAGACTTTTGGACTTAATCAGTACACGGATATCCCAGCCTTGTACTGTCTCAATGACCAGCCATGCATAGTAATGAGACTAAAAAGAACACGCTCTTCAATCCTCATGAAATGATCTTGATTGTTACTAAGTCATGGATTCTTGATCTACCTTTTCCTCCCCCTGTTTCACTTTTATATTCAGACCCTTTTATTTTCCTATCCATTTCTATATTTCCCTGGATTTCAATATCTCTCAAGTTTAAACACACAGGCATACAACTAGGCTAATTTTTGTTTTATTTGGTATGTCTATTTAAAAAGAATCAAATTATGTTACCACTCTCTGTGCTTCACTTATTTAGCCCTTTTTATTCTCATGAAGATATTATTGTTATTATCCCTGTTTCAGGAATGTTCCAAAGAAGTGACATAGAAGATCCATTAACTTACTATATGACAAAAGTAGGTTGTCGAGCTTCAAATTCAGAGACCTAAAATACATGCTCATCTAGCTTATTTTTTTTTTAAGATTTATTTTGTTTTTAGTGGAAAGGCAGATATACATAGAGGAGAGACAGAGAGAAAAATCTTCTGACCGATCATTCACTTGCCAAGTGACCACAACAGCCAGAGCTGCGCCCATCCAAAGCCAGGAACTAGGAGCTTCTTCTGGGTCTCCCAAGTGGGTGCAGGGTCCCAAGGCTTTGGGCTGTCCTTGACTGCTTTGCCAGGC